ACTAGATTTCCAGGAGCCCAGGAGGTTATAAACTTAAGTCATTCATCACCCCCAAAAGGATACTTCCTGGAAACAGAAATCGTTTCGGAAAGGATTTGAGCAAATCTGTGAATGACAGAGTTGCCGTAAATAGCTACGAAGAGAAGCTGGGCTCCACCTGACCTTTAGGATTGACGTCAAGGAAGATAGCTGTAGCCTCCAATGGTGGTATCTGAAGGATGGTGTTGGCACCCAAAGACTAGGTCAGATGGATCCGACCCAGAACGGCAATGCCCATGTTCTTATATGGCCTGGCGCAGAGCACCCAGCACTGTGAATCAGAAGGTGAGCTGAGCTCCTGGCTCTGACCATTTATAGCTACCTGACCTTGGGCGTGTCACTTACTCCCTCCTAAGCTCCTTTTCCTCATTTCAAGTTGGGGCTGATAATGGTCCACAATCCCTTATCCAAAACCACTGGACGCTTCTGAAATCCTAATTGTTCAGATTTTAGAAAGGTACTATGGGGCCTAGAGTGTTTGCCAGTCCCAGAGGAGTCTAGGGAAGCACTCTGTAATCAAACACATTAATATTTTTGCAGCAAAACATATGAATATTCAAAACAAGTGGGATAAATATAGTCTCACATCAGTTCAGATCAGGATTTGCCACTAAATGAGTTTGCTACAAACTTACATAAAACCTTCCAGCTTTCAGACTTTCTAATCACAGATATGGGATGATGGACCTGTACCCCCTTAGGGGAGCCTGTGTGGTTAAGAGAGCTAAAGTCACTAAAGGGACTGTGCAAAGAAAAAAGTGGTATAACTAATAAAAGGCAGTATTAATATTATTGCCGATGTGATCATTATTCCACAGCATGCTCTCTTCCAAAGAGAACTTGGTTTGACCTCAAGGATGTCTAAAGCTGGCAGAATAATGAAAGAGGACCAAGAGTCATGGGCGACTTCTACCTGCCTCAAGGTGGCCTAAATCAAGGTCAATGGCTATTGGCCCTCTACATGGTCAACCACTGAAAACAGAGCTGCTGGCCACCTGGAGGGACGAAGGCAAAGGGCCAGGCAGAACTCTGACATCTCAGCTATGTGGCTCACGCACCTAGAGCCGGCCCCAAGAAGCCACCAAGAAGGGTGCACACGTGAGTCCAGCTGGCTGAGGCCATTCCTTGTGGTTCCTGAGCACCCCTTCAAGAACCAGGCAAGAGTTCCTACTGTGTGTGTGCAGGATCCACACTGTGGCTGGTCTAAGGGCTTATTTGCAGAAGATCCAGAGGCTCCTGGGAAACCAGACCGCACTCTGATTCTGCAGCACTAAATTCAGAAACGTATTAGGAGCAGGCTGTACGAGCCTAGAGAGACTGAAGGCTATAAATGAGGACTGTGTTCACACTCAAGTCAGCCATACTGTTCCCTGTAACCTTATCACATACACATAACCCCGAGAATGAGAAGCTGCACTGGGCCCAGTTGAGCCTGTCCCTAGATCAGATCCAGACAAGGCTACACGCAGAACAGCTCCAGCCTTTCAGAGAGAGAACGAGAAAGAAGAGAGACTGAGCCTAGAGAAGGAGAGTCCAGTCTTCCAGAATCCCTTTGTGACCCACCCTCCCTCCCTCAGACATTGTCCTCTATAATGTGGGCCCATAGGGAAGGTTTTGGGGTCCAGAGCTTGCTCCTGTGTCTGCCTGGAGAATGGTGCTGATCCATCGAATCTTCTGACTGTCCTGACTTCCTTCTGCATCCTTTAGGTAAGGAAACACCATTTAATTTACCCAAGTAGCATCACTGTGTGGTCTCTCCATCAACCCATGACTACATATGACATCGCTTTGACATCTCCCCGTGCACCGCAGGGACCACAACTTCACTAAGTTTCGTTCTGTCTGTCGTGCCTATAGGCTCCCCTCTCACCAGCTTGGGACCAAGTCATGAGGAAACCAACTGATGGGATTCCTTAACCACCTCTCCCTCCTGCATCACTTCCCGGCCCTCTCCCCTTCCTTCCTCTCCATGCCCTTCTGTCCCCCACAAAGAAAAGCAACAGTAACTGCTGGGAACTTAACCTTTACCAACACTCTCGCCTACTGGCTTAAAAATCAAATCAAATCAAATCTGTAGCCTGTTACTTCACCATGTTCGTCCCTGTTACATTTACAGCCAATTCCACAGCTTCCGGACCTCCCACTCTGATTGTTTTGTCTTGTCTTTTTGTTTGTACTGATAGTTGTGATGTCGGGGGAGGAACAGAGAACAGTAGGGAACCAGGAAGTAGCACCTTAATCCTGGAGCTTTGAGGGAGAGAGAAAGAGGAAAAAGTGCATCTGAGCAGAAGCCAAGTGGCTGCCAGTCAGAGCAAGGGCCAAGCAGGTGCAGGAACACATTCTCCCCTCCTCCGTTTCTTTAGACCCCTCCAGCTTTCCACGCAAGGCACTGCCCCAGGCTCTAGTTTCTTGGGCTGCAGCAGCTCACTTTCTATCCTCAGTCAAAAGCACATTCTCCATGTCAGCAGCCCATAGCGTGACGCCAAGGATTCCAGGACCAGCGCCTCCCCATCACAAGCTCACAAGGACAGGCACATTCTCTGCACCACCTCACAGCCAACACAAGCCCGGTAGAAGGCAGAGCCGTTGATACGACCCACAACTCAGAGCCAGTGGGGGCGATGCAGAGACAAGACCTAAACAAGATGGGGGATCGAAGGGCCACTGCTCCATCTTCACAGTTACTGTGCACCAGGCACAGCTCTAGGGATTTCTTACTTCGTTAATTCAGCACCACACCCTGCTGACCATCTCCATCTAAATAGAGTAAAACAAGGCTCAGAATGGTCACATGACTTTCCCAAGCACTCATGGCCAGATATGGCTAGTTCCACCACCCACGCTCTATGGGGTACAACGCAGCCAGCCCTCCACCTCCCCCCAGAGAAGCGAGGGTCCCACAGAATGGGAACTTGGGACTCCTGGGAGAGTGATATCTTTTGTAGCTCTCTTAGGTAGAGAGAAGCAAAAATGACGCAACAGGAGTCAGAAAAATACTTTACTTTCCAGGGGGTGGGGGGTGGGCAACACGGGTGAAGCGGGTCAAAAGATTAAATTTCCAGCTATAAAATAAATAAGTCCTTGGGATGTAATGTACAGCATGGTGACTATAATTAATAATACTATACTGTATATTTGAAAGTTGCTAAGAGTAGATCTTAAAAGTTCTTATCATAAGGAAAAGAAAGATCTATAACTATGTATGGTGACTAGACTTATTGTGGTGACTGTTTCGCAATATATACAAATATTGAATCATTATGTTGTACACCTGAAACTAATATAATGTTATGCATCAATTACACCTCAATAAAAAAATTACTTTCCACCGTACCCCATTTCTCATAGCACGTAACTGAAATAATTCACATCCGGAGACGGCAAATTGATCTGGTCAAGTTTGAGGACCGGGTTTCCTCTTTAGGAAAGTTTGAGCAAAAACAAATACAACCCTGGGTCTATGTCTGAGCGGTACAAGCTTCAAGACGACACACCTCAGTGGCAGTTATTTTTCGCACCCACCGGAAGAAAAAATCGGTTATGTTGAGCTCAGCGGCACGTTCCGAAAGGTAAGGCTCAGAGCCACCAAGTCACCAGTTAAGCAGCGTTGGAGCAGGTTCCAGCTCAGCGTCGGGTAATCAGATCGACCTCCAGATGCCTCCCCTACCCGCCCCCCACCGCCCCTCTCTCACACCTCCTCCTCTACCTGAATGAGCAACACAGGAATAGGGTGGAGGGAGAGGGGTGCAAAAGGGAAAAAGCCACCCAAGATCAGCCAAACAGCAGGCCAGAGGGCATGCAGAGAACTGTGACCATGAATGACAACAGAAACCGGATTTCTTGACACCCAGAGACCACAGGGTGAAATGATAGGCATATTGTTATGACAGATGCAGGCCAACACCATACCCACTACTGATTCCCTCCGTCTTTACTCCACTGCTGAGGAGCAGTTTTCAAAACCCTCTGTTCTGTAGACACGACCCTCTTCAGGACTGAACGGCTCCAAGAGGCAGCAGTGTGCAAGGGAGTTAAGACCTGAATTTGAATCCACAGCTGTGCCTCTTACTATCTATGTGACCCTGGGAAAACATCATAGTTTCTTCCTGTGTGAAATAAGAACGTCGCCTACCTCAGAGGGCTGTGGTTACAAAAATGTGACTCCATGTAAAGCACTTAGCATTGAACTAGGCACATCCTCCACGTCATAAGAACTCAGTGAATGGTTATTTCACGAAGGAAACAGAAGCCAGAGGGAAGCCAATGCCAGCCCGAAGTGGCATTTAATTCAATGCGAGTAGAGATGGGATAAGAATAAGGCTCTGCAGGCTGTAAAACGAAGACTCTCATACCCATCCTTCCCCCTTGAATTTAAATCAACTCCCTCCACGTGTCTGCAGAGACAGAGAATGAGAAGGGAGAGCAAGCAACGTTCCTGGCAATGGAAGTTCACCAGGAATGACGTTCAGAACCTGCAGCCGCTCTTGTGGCCTGAGCAGCATCCAGCCCCTCCCACCCTCCAGAGCTGCAGACCAGCCTACCTTGGCAGAAACCGCCACACGGGAACCTGGGTACCTGCAACCTGGCAACACGGCCAGATCCAGGCTGTGGGAGACCTTCCTGCTCAACCCCACTCCCTCTTCTCCCTCCCTCCACTTTATCAGTCACTCCAGGCAAGGGAGAATAGACCCAACGGCAAAGAAAGCCAACGGGAGCCCAAAGGCAAAAAGAGAGGAAAGAGCCTAGAAAGGAGCTGGGCCCATGAGTTCTCCCATGCTTGGAAAGACCCTCAGCCCCTCACCACACTTGAATAGTGGCTCTCTGGGACTTTGAAAGAAGTGGGTTTTTACCAATAGTAGGGAGGACAGGGGAGCCAGGCCCCAGGACTGGGGAGAAGCTGGGAATGAAGGCAGGGTGTCGGGGTGTTGGGGTGTCGGGTGTGGGACTGAAGGGGGGCCTACCTGTGCTGCTCCACAGCCTCGTTGTCAGGCAGCTCCACCCCACACACACTGCACTGCTCCCCGATGGTCCGGCTCTCTGACTTCATGCCCACAGCCAGCTCACCCAGCTTGTTGAACAGCTCCCTCTGGATGAAACCCTGGGGCAGCAGACCCCCATAGGTGCTGAAGTCCATGGAGACGGCCAGGGCAGGCTGCACGTGGAGGCCAGAGGTCACTGAAGACGGCATGCTCAACACGGCGTCAGCCTTGTGGTTGGGCAACACAGAGTAGACACCCAGATGTTTCTCAGCTGAGGGCGCGGGGTGCTCTGGTCGGCCCGGGGGACCTTGGCCAGCCTCTGCTGGAGGTGGCAGCTGCTCAGCGCTCTCCTCACGCCCATAGTGCAGCTCCCTAGCACTGGTGATGACGCTGCTGCGAGTCGGGGTCCCGGGCCCCTCTTTGCCCCTTTCCTCCATCTTGTCCCCCATCCCACCTGAGATAGTGGACTCGGCTGCCCCAGGGCTATCCTGGCCAGGTACCTCATCCACCTGCATCATCTCTGTCTTCACCTCAGCCACCCCAGGGTGCCTCCCACCCCCAGCCAGTGTTGGCTCCTCAGGCCCTGCAGGTGGCTGAAGAGTTCCCTGCAGGAGAGACTGTCCTATGGTCATCAAGCTGTCCACTGCAGCCTTGGTAGGACTCATGGCTGAAAGACCAAATGAAGTGGAGACTGAAGGGCTCTGGTCCACCATGGGCCCAGGGAGGCTCTGTGCAGCCACACTGGCATACCCACTCTCCTCGCTGGAATGCTTCGAGATGAAGATGTTCTTAAGGTACCGAGCCTTGCGGTCCTCTTCCTCCTCGGCCCCGCCGTCCGCCATGGTGGCCTCCGTGTCATTGTCATCTGAGGCCTGGATGGTCTCCAGGATCTTCAGGCACTGCTCCTCCAGGTACTCGATCTCCAAGATCTCGGCTGCATATAGCAGGTCATCCAGGTCCTCTGCCTTGGCTTGCAGCGTGGCCGTGTACGCATACTCCAAAATCTGCTGGAAGGTCTTTGGCGACAGGAAGTCCAGAGTATAGTGCTGGCTGTTGCGGTGGAAGAGGATTTCAAACATCTTGCTGGTGCAGGCCAGTACAGTCCGGTGGGCGTGGAACTCCTGGCTGTCCACCATGATGACCACATCACACAGGGTCCCGGCCAGCCGCATCTGGTTGGCCTTGCACAGGAGCCCCGTGGGGTGGCTGGGGTTCTGCAGCTGGATCATGCCCATCTTCGTCAGATCCATGGTGCTCCCCGCGGCTTAGGCATGAGGCTCTCTTTCCTTGCTGGCTCTGCGTGGTGGGGCAGGGTGAGTTTCCTGGGCCAACAGAGAGGTCTACACAGGAGAGGGCGGGAAGAGGCAAAAGAGATGAGAGAACAAAAGGCAGATTAGTGAATATCCCTAAAAGTAAGAATTCAAACAATACAACACAGTCCACCCCCCCTCCCCCCCTCCCCCGCCCCCTGGCCCATTTCCCAGCAAGACTCTTGGAGACTTTAATGGAGGAGAGGGGAGCTTCCTAGAAATCTACATGTCTACCTTTACAAGTCCAGAGATGATGAGAGTAAAGAGAAGGCTCTGCCACAGCACATGCCTAATGCACTGCTCTATGACGTCTGTTCTATGAAGTGAAATGAAAATTACAGTGGAGCCTTGTGAGTCCTGGGCTGTCTTTAAGTCTGAGAGTGGGAAGCTCCTATGCAAGGCTAACATTCATTATGAGGAGGTGCCCGGCAGCTACCTGAAAAGAATAAGAGTTTAACCCCTTCCTTTGGTCAATTTAAGCACTCAATTTCACTCTCAACCCCCTGTGCAGCAAATCTCATCTTAAAAACAAAGTTTCCCTAAATCCTGCCATACAGTGGTAGCCACAAGAGCAAAGCCAAGCCTAGCTGGGGCTAGCAGCCTACAGGCCTAGGAAAAATCCATGGTCCAATCCTGGGCCTCTGTCCTTCTGTTCTTCTCAGGGTTGCAAAAGACTGACAGACCCAGGCCAGCGCCCCTCCTTAGGTACTAAGAGAAACACACACATGTAACCCACACACTGGCTTGGCTCACTTCTACCCACAGGCACCTCAAGTTATTGTTCTATCTGTAATCCAAAATCTGGACTGGGCGTGTACATGAGGGTGTGTGCAACACACTAACCAGAGAGGGAGCAAGAGTTAACATGTGTGCACGCTTATATAAGATGCCACACTTACCCTTGCCCACAAGTGCCCAGTAGACATGAGAATCTATAAAAGTAGCAGGATAGATCATGAAAGAGCCCCAGGAGAGAAATCAGAGGAAACATGCACCCCTACATCCAGGAGGGCACACGCTGGGCATATGAATTCCAAGTGTGTCCCACAGGCTCCCAGGAATGGGCAAGTCCTGTGACCAGGAGCAGCAACTGATGCTGGACATGGCTTGGAGGCACTGGAAGCGATATTGGCACCAGCATCTCAGTGTGAGTTACAACCAGTATGAAGGGAGGACAGCGCTGGGAGACAAAGGCCTCTCCCCAAAGCACTGTTCCAGATCAATAACAGGGCTCTGGGAGGCCCAAACCCGGTTTAAAGAGTGTTAGGGAGACCTCCAGGCCCAAGTCACTCCCAGCCTCTGCCTTGCTGTAGCCAATACCGCAGTGAAAGGAACTGGGAGCAAAACAGAGCAAGGGCTCCCTCACTCTTGGAACACTGCTTGCCTCCGCCCCAAAAGGAGCCCTATTGGCTCCAGAGCCACAAATCTCACGCAGAAAGGGTTAACAGGAAGGCTAATCAAGATACTTTTGCTGCCCACCCTGGGGTGGGGACTGAGGCCGTCAAGGGTGGGATGGCCATTCATCCGCTCCTCGCCACCGTGCGCCTTCCTGAAGACTTCAGGGTTTCTGAGAACTAGGAGGGAGCAATCGAAAGAATGGAAACTGGGCTACGCAATTCCTTCCCCAAAGCAAGCTTCTCAGGTCCTGAAAGAAATCAGGGTGCCCTCGGCCAGCCATCTCCCCGACTCGCGGCTCGGCGCCCACGATCGGGTCGGTGTTGGCTGCGGTGCCCAGCCCGGCGGCTCGGGGGAAAGCCGGCGCTAACCTGCTCGAGCTCCGGGAATGGATCGCTTTCTCACACCCCCCAGTTCTCAGCCACCCCCACGGAGACTTGGAGACGACTTCAGCAAACTTGGAGAAGCAACTTTTCCCGGGAAGCCAAACGACAGAAAGAAAGGGAACCGGGCTAGGGAAGAGGGAAAGCGAAAGAGACCAGAACGAAGGGCGAAAGTCCGAGCGGGCTGGATGCCTGGGCGAGAGCGGCGAGGAGGTGGACCTGCCCCGCAGCGAAGGGGAAGCACAAAAGCCCGACAGAGAGTTGTGAGAGGAAAAGCGAGAAGAGATCTGCGGGCCCTCGCTCTCCGACCCAGAGCCGTGACCCCCGGGAGCGACCGGCAGGGTCCCCGGCCTCTGGCGCCAGCAGCCGGCATGCCCGGCCCAGGCACACTGCGAGCGTCCCAGGGAGCGGGCGAGTGAGTCCGTACAGAGCGCGTCTGTGCGTTCCAGTGGGTCCGCGGGCCGGCGAGATTGTGCGCATTTTGAGCGCGTGCAGGAGTGTTTGAGGGGCTGTGCGAGCGAGCTGCCGGCGCGCCAGGATGGGAAAGGCGTCCCGAACGCATCAGGTGCAGAGCGGGGTCACCCACCAAGCGCGGCCGGGAGCGCACAGCGAGCTCCGGCGCCACGGCCGGTCCCGCCGAGAGCCGAGGAGGGCCCGGAGCCCTGGAGACCTTCCGGAGCTCGGCCACGGCCGCCCCTCCCCCCAAAACGGAGGGATCAAGTCCAATCAAGAAAAAAAGAGCCCACCACGTTTCCCAAAGAGAAACAAAACCCAAAGTGAGTCCCACTCCTGCTCCTCTTCGCCCCCAGATCCACTCCTCGAATCCTCCGACTCTAGCTTCCCAGACGGCCGGCGAATAAACACACAAATAAACCACAACCTTATCTCGCGCCCGCGCACCGGTCCGCATACATACGAGCGAGCACCCACCGGCTCCCAGCTCCTCCGCCTGCCCCTGGTGGTACAAAGCCTCCGTATCCCCAACCTTCCGCTCGCGCCCTCAGCCCCTGTAGACTGCTCTGCCCCCTATCTCTCACCCTGACCGTGCCCTGGAGCGGAAGGGTTGGGGAGGCAGCTGCGCCTAAGCTGACAGCCGGGGCTCCCCCTTCCAGCCGACCCCCAACCGGCGGTGGCGACGGCTGCAGCAGCAGGAAGGGAATAAGCCGAATAAAATAAGGCACAAGCCCAGCGGCCGAATGGCCGAAGCGAGCGCGCCCCCCAAGACCTCTCCAACCCCGGGGCGCCCTGGCACGCGGCTATCGCTAAACAGTGCGCCCCTCCCCGGCCCCCTACTCACCGCTGCCGAGCCGGGCGCTGTGGGGTGGGTGTGCGTGCCTCTTGAGGGGTGTGTGCCTGCGTCGGGGAGGGGTGTTGCTGGGGAACTGTTGCTCTCGGTATCAAGGCGGCAGCGGCGGCATCGCCCGGCAGTTCGCAGTACCCGCTCTCATCGCCCTCAACTCTTCTCTGCTGCGAGGTTAGCAAATCACCACCGGCTGCGGCGCCTCCGCCGCGTCCCACGTCAACGCCAAGCCCCCTCCCCTGCGAGGCCCCGGCGCCTCTCCATCTTTAGTGCTGGCGGCCGAGCCCGGCTCCCTGCCCACAGCTGCCCCCCTCCCTCCCCCCTCCCGCGCCGTCCCTGGGCTCAGCCCGCCCCCCCCCCCACACTGGCCAAGCCCGCGCACGCTCCCCGCCCCATTGCTCCCTCCTCTCCCCTCCCCTCCCTTCCCCGCGCGCCGCGCTCCGGGCTTTGCCTGACATCTAGCTGCTGCTGGGGCGCTGGCGGCCGCCTCTTACCGGCCAAGCGGAGAGGAAGGAAGGAGCTCGTGGAGAGGAGTGCCAGGGACTTGGAACCCTTAGTGGGGGTAATGGAGGTGAGGGGCGAGGCGCAGCCCCCGCCTTCAACCCCTTGGTTTTTAACTTCCACTGGACACGGGTTTTCTTTTCTCCTGCTGCTCCAGGCTCGGAGTTTGATCCCCGGCTTCAATATTTGCCTCGATTCAGTGCGTGTCATCTCGCCTTTCACTTTTTCTCCGGGCTCGGGGCTACATCCCCTGAACCCCGACATCGGTTTTAGAAGGTCACTTTCCCCGCCCAAAGGCAGGCCTTCTGTGCCTCTGAGCATCCAGATTGCGAGAAGTCTCCAGGCGCAGAGTTCGCGGGCCCTGGTGAGCCAGGTGCCAGAGGGTCAGCGGGGATCTCTCGTCGAGGGGAGACGCCCCATTTTAGCTCTCGCGATCCCTGGAGACCGATGTCGAGGCCTGAGAGAAACTTTTCTCCCTCCCAGTGTTGAGCATCTCCTCGGCTTTGACCCCCAGGGACCCTGGCTGGAAACAGTTCCTGAGAACTGCGCCCTGCTCAGCGCAAAGTCTTCAGGGGGCGAGTGAAAGCCTGAAGAAGCTCCAGGCCCCCCAAAAGTGCTTCCTCCTCTCCGCTGGCCGCTCCACTTTAGAGGGTGGAGTTGAGATCACTAACCCGGGGGCAGAGCAACCAGAAGAAATCTGCCTTTCCTCGGGTGGTGGAGAGTCCCTTTCTCCCCCCTTTCCCTGGAGCTTGGCGAAGGTAGGGGACAAGAGGTGGGAGGGAAGCGCTCTTCTGGGCGCAGGCCGTCGCGGCCGACTAAGGTCCAGGACCGCTGGGGTGAGGGTGGTGGTGGAGAGCGCCCTCCCTGGGTCTCCGGACAAGTCAGCCCTGGAGGTCATAGAATCTTAGCAACGCGAGGCTTCAATCCCACAGTCCTGAGTCCCCACATAAGACGCGAGTGGGTCAAAGGTTTCCCGCCGGACTCACCTACAATCACATTCCGATGCGCGCCTCTGGCACTGCCCCAGACCGAGAGTCAGGCCCCGAGAACTGAAGGGTCATGGAAGGTGGCAGAAGCCAACTGGAGGCAAAATCCGCTTCCGGTTGTGGAAAGCCAGACGGTGGAGTTTACGTATCAGAACTGATCCGGGTTCAGGAGAGCTGCTAATGGGGTAGTCCCAAGGACAAGCAATTCCATCCCAGCAAGCGTCGCTCCTGTCTCCTGCTGGCAGGGAAAGTGCTCAGACCTCCAGGAGTAAGGGGAAAGAAGAAGGCGGGCAGGGAAGGGAAGGAAGGGAGCCGGTTACCCTCTGATAGCAGTGAAAACAGCAACAGCTAACCGATGCTAGAAAAGCCCAGGCCCTGAGTATTCATTTTGAGTAACAATAAAGAGCAATCCCTATTATAGACTATTTTCCTAGCTAAGGTCTATGCAATCTGTAAGAGGAAAGGAATGTAAAGAAAGTTAAGAATAACTGGTCTGCAAGGAGAGCAAGACGGGAGGGATGTAAGAAGAGGAGAAAGACCCTCCTTCTGCCTCCCCGGGGAAACAGAACAAAGAGTCAGTAAACTTGTTGAGCTTCTGCCTGATGGTGCCTGCTGAAGGTTGTTGTCTTGCAGTCTACATGTACCTTCTAGTGCTCCTGCAGTTAACCCTTGATCCTAATCTCCTATTAATCCTCAAATCAGTGAAAGAGAGACTCTGGAAACAATAGGAAAGAACGGTCCCTCCGTGGCCCTGGACTCGCCCACCCCATGCCATATTCGCTCTATGTGAAAATCTCCCTTGCTTCATAAACTCTGCCCATTAAAAAGCCCAGCTCTCGTTAGTAAGTGTTAAAGAGAGATTAATGCCTGAATTTAAGAGGTGGAGAAGGTAACAAAAAGGAGGAAGGCAGGCGAGGCTGTGGGCTGAGTGCCAGCGTTGGGCTCCCAGCATTTCCACTTAGCGCTAAAGGCTGGCCGCACAGCAGTTTGATAAGGTTTATTGGGCCCAGATAAAGCCGCAGCAGCTGCCCCCCACACACACACAACTGGCACCCTTTATAGCCAGAGCTATGTCCTTGGGTCCCCAGAAGGCTGATGAGAATCCCCAGTTCAGAGATTTCATATGGTGGCACCTAAAAACAAGCAGGATGGAAAATTACAATAGAAATCTCTCTCTCTGTTCATGTATTTGTAGTGATTTTTTTTTTCTTTTTTACTTTTTTTCTTGAAGGGTGTGGTAAGGGAAGCTGGAACATCAGTTTTGATAGGTCCTAAAAATAGAAGAGACCTCAGTCGTGCTGGGATGTCATGCTGGCGACAGGGGAATAGATGAGTTGACCTTTGGATGGAATTCCATCCTTAAATCTTCTTATTCCCCCATTTCCTTCTTTACTAACATACCTCCCACTGGTAGCAGCCTTTCAGAGCTCAGTTCGTAGGAGAGTATATCAGGTCTGAGGGATCTCACAGGAAGGAGACAGTGGGAATAATAACTCATTCTGAGCACTGTCTATGGATCTTCACACATTACCTACATTGTTTTATTTAATCCTCATAACAACCCTATTAATGCAGGTACTATTATTCTCTCCGTTTCTGCAGATGAGAAACCTGAGGCTCAGAGAGGTTAAGTGCCTAACTCAAGACCATAGAGTTCTTAAATATCAGAGCTGAGACTTTAAATCAGACCATTCTGACTGCAAAGCTCATGATCTTAACTTATAGATCATACAGCATCTAGCGAGATGGAAGAGGGAAACGGGGCTTTTAACTTTTCTTCTCCTCTTCCTCCACTGAGGCCAAGGTCTATGCAGCATCCAGCCAAGCTGAGGACCAAGCAGTTCTCTGGTGAATCAGGCCACCAGGTAAACAGACTCAGATCACTACCATCTCGGCACTTCTCCTCCCCCAACATCTCAGGCCAAAGTTGAGAAGGGAGTTTTGAATTACAATAAAACTTCAACCAAGCAGACGCCCAGGAAGAAGGCGATAGTGGTGTTTTGAGTATTCCCATTGTTAATGGAATGTCGAAACTCATTCTGTTCCAACTCCTTAGTTGGAAAATAGTTTTAAAATTTAAAAGTACATTTTCCTTTTCTTGATAAATAAATCAAGGACTTCTACCTTTGGGGGAGAAGAAGCTACTTTGCATTTCTCCAAAACTTGGTGATGAGTGGGGAATGAAGCATTTTCAGGGAGAGATGCAGGCAGCCAAGCCCCCCAGTGGAAAAAGTAGTCTCTTCCGCAGTTGAGGACTCCAGGTTGCCACTGGAGGATGCACCAGGCTGTCACAGGTACTCCTCGGGGAAAGACACAGCAAGCCTTGGGGTCCTTTTCTGGAGGCAAAGACTCTTACAATGTGTCAAGGTCATCACTGTAGATATTTACTAGATAGATGCAGATGCATCTACTATTATTTACAGTATGTAAAAATTAAGCAGAGTAGAATTTGCTCTCAATGCATATGTTGATAGTTATTTTTGATTTGTCTTTTTTTTTTAATTCTTTCATCTCACTTCCTTAGCTGTCCCTTCCAAAAAGCAGAGGGGGAAATAATCAGGTGACCTGTGGGCTCTAATTAGCTGAAGGTCAGAAAACCAAATAAGAAGATGGCTTCTTGACTAGTAATTGCCATCCTTTTTCCCTGTGGAGATCTGGTTAGTGGTGTTTACAAACTTGGGCTTCTCTTCCAGGTACTAAGTATGCCCTTCCTCTCATCTGTAAGGCAGAGAGTGAGTTTTCAAATGAAGAAGAAGAGGGGTTATTTCCTTCAGCCCCTGAGGCCTTGGGTCACTGTGATCCCAAGATCTTTGTGATTGAGGAAGAGAAAGCTTTTTCTTCTCTCTCTCTCCCCAGCATATTGCAAATGGTGTTGGGACCTAATGTTGTCAACTCAAAGAGCAAATCTGAGTTGTTATTAGTGCAAAGATGCCCTGAGGGGTAGACAGTGTGGGTGAAATCTGCAGTGGATGTTATGGGGAAGTGTGTTTATAATTATAATGGGATTTAATGTACACTGGGACCAGATGATGGCAGCCATTTAAAAAGAGATGCTTAGTAAGAGTGGTCCCTTAATGACAGGCAGCAGGGCTCAGGTTATTATGGAAGGAGCACAGTGTTTCAGTGGATGTCACAAACCATGTGCCAGGTTTTATGGGGATCTGAACAAAGCTTTGGGGTGAGACATAGCAACTATTGCTGTCAGCTCTTGGGCATAATGTGTTCATGTTGTTGTCTTTGAAAGGGGCATCTGTACTTAAGAGAAAGCCATTTTGTCTCTTTTAAATATACATCAGCAGCACAAACACACAGGCTCCCGGCCACATTGAGTAGTTTTTGGTATTTCTGGGAATCTGCTTTGTGCTGAGAAAGATGGCCTCAATTTCAAAACTAAAATTTTGTAGCGGTCGAGGGGTACAGATTCCATATAGTGTACATGAAATGAAGCAGCATGGCCCATTACAAGTAATGGGAGTCCCACAGCTAAATCCCCAGGCACCATCCTGAAAATTAACCCCTAAGTCCTCATCAGAAACAGGGGCTTTTTTACACTTTGGTGTTTTATTGTTGGGAAGCCAGGAAGAGGGGAAATATGTAACTTTTTTTTTTTTGAGGAAGATCAGCCCTGAGCTAACTACTGCCAATCCTCCTCTTTTTTTTGCTGAGGAAGACTGGCCCTGAGCTAACATCCATGCCCATCTTCCTCTACTTTTATATGTGGGACACCTACCACAGCATGGCTTTTGCCAAGCAGTGCCATGTCCACACCCGGGATCTGAACTGGCGAACCACGGGCCACCGAGAAGCAGAATGTGCGAACTTAACTGCTGCGCCACCAGGCCAGCCCTGTAACATTTTTTTATGCTGTTTAAATAGCCAGCTGTTTAACTTTGGGGATGTTTAAGGTTATAGACTTCAATCTACTATTCTACAGCAGGAACACTATAGTTGTGTACCAAACCTGGAAAGGTGTGCAAGGGGAGGGGCACGCTCCTTGAAGGTACCACCAGAAGCCCCATGGTCCAGAAATACAACCCATATTCAAGTTGCATTACTCTATATTTTTCTTCCCTGATATGAGAGAAGTATATGAAAACTACTCTGTTCATTTAATATAGCTTCATCTATGGCGGTTGTGTTGTCTGTTCACAAAGCTTATGACTGGTCTCAGAGTCCTTAGAACAGAATATTTCATTTATCCTGACAAGGGATACAGTGAGACTGGACTTCCATTCATAGACTCTCAGAAGCTGAATTTCTGGAGAAGGTACTTTTCAAATAGAAGTGGTATGTCAGGGGCACACAAGCCACAGATGAGATGATTTTACTCAATAACGGGTAATTTGAGCCAATTATATTAAAATTATTTTAGCAAAAAAAACATTGATATCCTGTGGAGTGGAATTCAAAATCTGTACGAATTTTTAAGATAAAATGAGAGACTCCCTTGGAGTTCTCCCTTGAGAAAAGCTCACTGCCTTTTCCCCATTAGGACTGAGTGGGTGGGAGGCAGGGGGATGCCCCATGGGCAAGGCTGTTGTGGGCTCTGAGCCAGACTCAGCCTCCCTTGCCAGGGCAAGTTCATTTGTCTCTTTGGGAAGTCATTGTTGGATCTTTCAAGTAATCTTCTCCACCTCGCCCTCCAGCCAGAATTAATTTCTCCCTCCTCCATAAGTCCCTTAGCACTGTTTGAACATTTATCATAGTATTTACCACTATCTGCCTTGTATCTGACTGAGTTATGTGCATTCTGACCACCCCCTCCATTGTGATGTTCTGGAAGGCGAGGTCTCAGTCCTGTTCAACTCAGTATTCCCATTCCCAACCTTCAGAGCCTAGCACACTGTCAAGCCGAGTAGATCTCAGAAATGTTAGTGAATTAACTACTTAAATGAATGCGTACATGCGTGAACGAATGAATGAATGAGCAAATGGACATAGACACCCAGTGTTTTAGGAATTCAGGAGAGGAGGAACCATTCTGTATCCCAATATTTAGGGCAGAATTCTTTGTAGCTATGCCATTTTTACTAACCCTTGAAAAATCAGTGGAATATAGATAAGGGTTGAGGATAGCTGTTGAGTTTAATTGTATACAGCTCCTTGAGGGTATAAGTGGGTTCTATTTCAGTTTATGTCTCCATCAGGGGCCTAGAACCAAGCTTTTCTCAATATCCTAGGAGCATTAATAAATAGTTATTAAATCGCATTGAAGTGAAATGAATTGACTTAAATCACACTATTCATTATTCCTACAATGGCCTCGTACTCCCAATCCCAAATAGCTGTTAGTTAACCAGGCCAGGGCTGAGAGCAGAGCATCTGATCTCCTGCTAGGGACACCAGTGGGTGCACAACAGCTGACTGAATCCAGAACTAGCATATGAGACATGCATTAGCCACGAGTGCTGACAGATGAGCTCTGCTATCACCAGGTGTGGCAGAGACTGGCTTGCTGTTCTCCAAATGGCTTCATGAGCACACGCTGGATTACATTTTTCAGCGTATCTTGCTGTTAGGTACAGGCCATGTGATTGAGCTCTGGCCAACAAACAGATGAGCAGTGAGCAGGACAGAATGAACAGTGAGCAGAAGTCCATTGTGCCACTACCAGGACTGGCCCATAAGAACTCCCGCATGGAATCCTCCATGCCTTTTCCCTTTCCGTGACTTGACTCCATGAGCATGTAGATACCTTGGAAGCTGAGTGATGAGGATGGCAAGCCAGGATGGAAGGAGCCTGGATCCCTGAATCACAGCTTGGACGGGAGCTGTCTGCCCACTAAGACCACCCATTGTGGACTTTATAGAAACAAGAAATAAGCCTTCAATGTTTTGAGCAGGGTTGCCAAATACAGTGCAAGACACCCAGTTAAATTTGAAGATCAGATAAATCACTTCAGATAAATAATGAATAAGTTTTCAGTATAAGTATATCCTGTAGTTATACTAAAAAAATTAGCTGAAATTCAAATTTAAATTGGTGTCTTTTTTTTTTTTTTTTTTTTTTGCTAAATCTGGCAACCCTAGTCTTTAGCTATTATATATTTTGGAATTTGTTTTTTATATTAGCTAGGAATACCTTAATTAACACATCTTATTTCGTTTGTCAGAAGCAGCAGGGCCCCAGAGCTGAGATTCTGGCCTGAGACAAAGGGCTGCCCCCAGGTCCTCTTGACAATTAGCTTATGCATAGGGCAGGTCCATCGGGAGAATGGAGTATCCTGGATGGACAGAGCCAAGGGGAATACTAGGAAAGATCTTGACAGTTTGTAGTTCACCCTCTTTCCTATTAGCCTATTTTTCTTCAGCTGCCTCTTCCACTACGCTGTGAGTTCTATGGGGACAAGGGTGATTGTGGGCCTTACCTCTGTATCTGCAGTACTTGACACATGGTGAAAGTTGAGTTCTTGTTTGTGGCGGAAAAGCAGCATGATTGCTGGGGAAGGGCAGATAGGAAGGCATCATAATGTGGTCCCATCCAAGACCTTAGGGAGTAAAACCAGGACTATTGAGAACACCATCAAGCCAATGATCCCATCCCCCACTTTCTCCTGTACCCTGTAAATACTCATTGTAGCAAAAAGGCTGAGAGCTTGGACTCAGATTTACTCACATGGGTCTATGTTCAAATACCGTCTCCTACCTCCAAGGTCCTGGGTGATCTTGGGTCAATTTCTTAAACTCTCTGAGTTGCACTGTCCTCCCCTATAAATTGGGGGCAATAATGGTATCCACCTCACACCTAGAGTTGCTAAGAAGATGCCCAAGGAGTGCTTGACCCACAAAAAAAAAGATCTGAAAGGTGCTGACCTGGTGGCGCAGTGGTTAAGTGTGCCCATTCCGCTTCTCGGCGCCCCGGGGT